ACTGTTACCATCATACTGTCACTGTCACCCTGTTACCATCATACTGTCACTATTACTGTCACACCACACCATCATTCCATTACTGTTACACTTTCACCATCACAGTCTCACTATCAGTTACTGTCACATCACACTGTCACCATCACAGTGTCACTGTTACACCTTCACCATCATAGTGTCACTGTCACCCTGTCGTTGTCACAGTCACACTGTCACTACCATCGTGTCACTGTCACACCAACACCAACGTACTGTCACTCACTTCATTACTGTCACACTGTGCAGTTAGATCTCTTGGTGACCCACCGCCACTCCTCCAGCCCCAGGACCCTGCCCCACTCCATTCACCCAGCAACCAACTTTGTCCCATCCACATCTCCTGCTCTATGCCCTGCCCACACACCCTTCATCATGAAGAGGGGCCCAGAGACCCCACACTCTGTGCTCGGTGGCATTTATTTGGACAATGTGACATTACATCCATCCCCTCAGATGTAGTTGCTTTCAGTTTAGAGAGAGGTGCCATTGAATCCCCTGTCCCCAAGCCATGCCACAACACCCTAAATACGCGCCTACCTCCCTGGCCCATCCCATGCCCACTGCCACCAGTTAAAATTTCTCCTGCATTTACACTCTGCAGCGACTGTAGGTGATTAGGAACAAGTTTCAACAGTGGATATATAGGAAATTCTTTCTCCCACTGGTGCCAAATAAACTCCTTGGATTGGCCAAGCATTTGCAAACAAGCCCATTTGTTAATCAGGAAATAAATCCCCAGCCTGCTGCAGGGAAATTCGGGAGTCTGTGCGGAAGCAGAAAGCATTGGTCTTCAACGACTTCAACGGCCACTTCAGAGGGAGGCAAAATTCAACGAGGGTTCTGGGAAGATGTGAGATTGCTCCCCACCACAAACCATGAAGACCGTCTCCCCAAAGTCAGCAGCTTCTCCGCGGCAGCACCAATGTTGATGCTCATGCTTCCAAACAGTAGTCACCAATATTCTCTCACTAAAGATGGCACATTACTTGGCCCTGAGAACTTTGCCAAATACATCAGATTTGTTCAGGAAAGCCCACAGCTTCAGATTCATTTTAAGCAGTTTCATACTTCACATGTAATAGATTTGAAAGATTTAAAAACTAAAATCTTTTAGCATCATAGAGATGTACAGCATGGAAACAGACCCCTTGGTCCAACTCATCCATACTAATCAGATATCTTAAATTAATCTAACTCCATCTGCCAGCATTTGGCCCATATCCGTCTAAGCCCTTCCTATTCATGTACCCATCTAGATGCCTTTTAAATATTGTAATTGTACCAGCCTCCACCACTTTCTCTGGCAGCTCATTCCATACACGCACCACCCTCTGCATGAAAAATTTGCCCTTAAGGTCCCTTTTAAATCTTTGCCCTCTCGCCTTAAACCTAGGCCCTTTATTTTTGTACTCCCCTGCCCTGAGGAAAAGGCTATTCACGCTATCCTTGCCCCTCATGATTTAATAAACCTCTGTAAGATCACCCTCAGCCTCTGTTGCTCCAGTGAAAATAGCCCCAGCCTGTTCAGCCTCTCCTAATAGCTCAAACCGTCCAACCCTGGCAACATCCTTGTAAATCTTTTCTGAACCCTTTCAAGTTTCACAACATCCTTTCTACAGCACAGTGACCAGAATTGAATGCAGTATTCCAAAAGTGGTCTAACCAATGTCTTGAACATCACACCATGATCTCTGAACTCCTATATTCAATGCACTGACCAATAAAAGCAAGCGTATCAAACGCCTTCTTCAACAACCCTGTCTACCTGCGACTCCATTTTCAATGAATTATGACCCTGCACCCCAAGGTCTCTTTGTTTGGCAACACTCCCCAGGACCTTACCATTAAGTGTATAAGTCCTGCCTTGTTCTCCTTTACCAAAACACAGCACTTCACATTGATCTAAATTAAACTTCAACTGCCACTCCTCAGCCCACCGGCCCATCTGATCAAGGTGCCATTGTACTCTGAGGTAACATTCTTCACTGTCCATTATCCTAACAATTTTGGTGTCAGCTGCGAGCTTACTGACCATGCTTCTTATATTCACATCAAAATCATTTATACAAATGACAAAAAGCAGTGGACCCAGCACCGATCCTTGTGGCACGTCGCTGGTCACAGAGCCCCAGTCTGAAAAGCAACCCTCCACCACCACCCTTTGTCACCTATCTGTTTAGTATCTCCTACCTGTTTTGTTTAGTATCTCAGTCCCAATTGAGCGAGAACTTATACTCTGTCTTCTTGGTGAGCTGTGGCGTCCTCCACAAAACACCATGTTACCCCGCAATTCCAATACTCATTACCCAACTCTCCTCCCTTCATCACTCATTGTCCCACTCCCCCTCCCTCAGTCACTCTTTACCCCATTCTCCCTTCTTCCGTCACTCTTTATCCCAAAATCCCTCCTTCTGTCATTTGTTACCCAGTTTCCCCTCCCTCTATCACTCATTTACCCCGACATCCATCACTCTTTACCCTACCATCTCCCTCAGTCATTACTAGGGTAAGGATCCAGTGAACCTAACCAACCAGAAGGCACTAATGCACAATCAGACAGAATCCAAGTTTTGCAACGCGCTCCAAACTTACTTTCCATTAATGCAAGAAGCAGATAAAATCACCCCTGAAAAGGAGCCCACTGCAGGCTTTGTGTCAAATTGCCTCAGTGGGCAGAACTTGTATCTTTCAGCTGGAGGGTTATAGATTTAATTCCCATTCCAGATTTGAGCACAAATTCCAGGTTGAAGTTCCCACTGCAGTACTGAGAGAGTGCTGCATTGTCAGAGGGGCTGACGCTTGGACAAGATCAGAGCTCTGTGTTAATGTGAACCATGATGTGGAGGTGCCGGCGTTGGGCTGGGATGAATAAAGTCAGAAGACACCCGACACCAGGTTATAGTTCAAAAGGTTTATGAAGAAACTGCGCTCCGAAAGCTTGTGACTTCAAATAAATCTTTTGGACTATAACCTGATGTCATGTGACTTCTGATTGTGTTAATGTGGATAGTAAGGATCCCATGGCACCTATTGATAAAAGAACCTATTCACCTTTGTGAAATACACACACACACACACACACACACACACACACACACACACACACACACACACACACACACACACACACACACACACACACACACATAGAAATAGAACGGAGAGTTAGCATGCACAACACAGCCACAAACAGTCAGATAGCACACAGAGACACCATACAAAAACTCACTCACTCAATCTTGCATTGTAACTGCAGCGTCCATCTGGAATTTCTTGTTTGCAGCAATTGAACCATCTGAATCAAAAGATCATTAACCCCTGCTGGCTTTTAGATATGTGAAAATAGTGTTGTGTGGCGTTCAATCCAACTTTGCAGGGTCTGATTACTTGAAGTGACAGCCTTTGCTATGGAATGACAATTCCATCAGTTAACTATTCCCCTGGTCCAGCTACCTCCACACATTTCTGCTCTCTCTTGACATCCAGTTGGATGACAGATTATTTTCTCCTGCTGGGATTATTTAGCCTGCCCACACATTGTATTTGTTAGAACAAACCAGACTGCTTTAAAAGCCAGTTTGAAACAATGGGCAATGGGGGAGATGGAGTTAATTCTCTCTGGTGAACCTGCATGCGATATTGAGAGTAAATTGCTATCACACCTCAGCTTCTCTATTCCTGCTGGCTCTAATGTGGCCAGCCCTTACATAGCATTTCCAGTTCATAAAATGGCCATTCAGCCCAACTACTCTTTGCTGCTCCACATGAGCCTCTCCTTGCCCCGCCTTTATCTTACCTTATCACCCTTTCCTTCGGTCCTTCTCTCCCTCATGTACTGTGCAGCTTCCCTGTAAGTGCACTTATTCACCTCAACTTCATTCATTATGCAGGAGCGAGTGCCAAATTCTGACCAGAGATTGACTAAAGAAATTTTTACTGAATCCCTGTTGGATTTAACAGAAAATATTTTACATGCGTTGGCTCCCCTACAGGTGCAACTGTCTTATTATCTCTTTCTTCTGTCTTCCACTCTTCTCTCTGTTTGCTAAATGCTAACAGCCTGTTGTCCATCTATAATTACACGGTCAAACTGAAAAGTGCCTGCAAAATAATAGTCAGCAGAACTTGCAAGCTGCACACTAATGACTCAATGCTTCCTATTTCACTCTCAATATGGGAATCTCTCTTTCTCTTTCCTCCACTAAACTAATAATATCACCATTCTTAACATCAATGACTTGGCATCTTTTACATCATAACAACCCAATGCATTTTTCAGGAAGGAAATGTGACAGTGAGCCGCACAGGGATAGCCAAAAGGGAGAGACAAGTGATGAACCAGCAATGCTTAGACATGAACTGTGAATTGTGCAATAGGAGTCAAGCCAGCATAGGCCACTCTCACGTTTTAATGGATCTGCCTTCTGGGGAATGCTGGGACTGATGAGAAAAGGCTGCCTGCTGAATGATCCTGCCAGGGGATTTGCTCAGAGACAGTAAGAACTGCCGATGCTGGAGTCAGAGATAACACAGTGTGGAGCTGGAGGAACACAGCAGGCCAGGCAGCATCAGAGAAGCAGGAAAGCTGATTTTTCAGGTTGGGACCCTTTTCCAGAAATAGGGAGGCGTAAGGGAGCTGGGAAATAAATAGAGAGGGGAGGGGTGGAGCTGGGGAAGGTAGAAGGGATGGTGATAGGTGAGTGCAGGTAGGCAGTGGTGGGGATTGGTCAGTGAGGTGGGAGGAGCGGATAGGTGGGAGAGAAGACGGTCAGATTGTGTCAGGC